GCTTCATGAACTGGGCTTGTTTAGTTTGGAAAAAAGAAGATTAAGGGGGGACATGATAGCGGTTTTCAAATATCTAAAAGGGTGTCACAAGGAGGAAGGAGAAAATTTGTTCCTCTTGGTTTCTGAGGACAGGACAAGGAGTAATGGGCTTAAAGTGCAGCAGGGGAGGTTTAGATTGGACATTAGGAAAAAATTCCTAACTGTCAGGGTGGTCAAATATTGGAATAAATTGCCAAGGGAGGTGGTGGAATCTCCCTCTCTGGAGATATTTAAGAACAGGTTAGATAGACATCTGTCAGGGATGGTGTAGACAGAGCTTGATCCTGCCTTGAGGGCGGGGGGCTGGACTCGATGACCTCTTGAGGTCCCTTCCAGTCCTATTATTCTATGATTCTATGAAAAGCATGAGTGGCGTGGAGAGGGTGCATAAAGAAAAGTTCTTCCCTATTATTCTATGATTCTATGATTCTATGATTCTAAAATCAGTGCTTCTTGCGTAAATACTTTCATGCTCCCACTCGGGAAAAAGCCAGTGTAGACTGGAAAGAACTGATTTGCACAAAAAAGCCACAGTGGCTAAAATGGCAATCAGGGCTTTCTTGCGCAAAATCACGTCTAGACTGGCCACGGATGGTTTTGTGCAAAAGCACTTTTTGCGCAAAAGCATTCGTGCCAATCTAGACACGCTTTTGCAGAAATACTTTTAACGGAAAAACTTTTCCGTTAAAAGTATTTCCACAAAATCATGCCAGTCTAGATGCAGCCATACTGTATAATGTCAAGGAAAAGAAAATCCGATATTCCCTTTATAAAGATTGTTGCAAGAAAAGAAACTCGCACATTCACAAGACAGTTTTAAAACAATGTATTTAGTTCTTCTCATACATGACACCAGAGTTTGCACCCAACAGATAAAAAAACCTCACCTTCTATACTTTTGTTTTAAGCTGCTTTTCTGGTGACGGTCATGGCACCAGCATTGAGAGTAGGGTGGACCAGACCTGGTTTTCCTCTGAAACAGCTCTTCCTGGGGATTCTCTGGTGTTTTTAGGTCAGTCAGGAAATATAATCCCTCCAGCATGTCCTGAAGTGAGCCTCTAGAACAGGGGCAAGCAATACATTTTTGCTGGGGTCACTTCAGAAATTTTGAAGTGGCCCTGGGCTGTACTAGAAGGAGTAGGGCCTCAAGTGGAAGGGGCGGGGGCAGGATGCTTCTCCACTCACAGACCATGATTGGTCTGGGGATGGGGAAGTGAGTGAAGTCTCTGCCCCCCGAGGTTCCCCCAGGCTCCCATGCTCCTGGCAGTGGGAGGAGACTTCACACGCTCCCCTTTCTGCCCCCGGGCCAATCAGGGCCTGGGGGAGGGGGAGTGCATGAAGTCTCCTCCCACCCTGCTAGGAGTGCATGGCACAGCCATAGTGGAGAAAACTTTATGTGCTTCCCCCACCGCAGGCCTATCAGGGCTTGGGGGGTGGGGGAGCGCACAAAGTCTCCTGCTGCCCTGCTAAAAGTGCGTGGTGCTTCAAAGCACTGCATGCTCCTTGCAGGGTGGGGGCAGAGTAGAGTAAACTTCACACATTTCCCCCCGCCCCTAGGCCCTCATTAGCCTAGGGACAGAAGGGAGCATGTGAAGTCTGCTCCTGCCCTGCCAGGAGCATGTGGCACTTCTAAGTGCCTCATGGTCCTAGCAGGGCAGAGGAAACTTTTTGCACTTTCCCCTGCCCCTAGGCCCTAATTGGCCTGAGGATGGGGGAGTGGCAGGACCTCCCTGGGCCAGATCAACTTGCTTGGAAGGCCGTATCCGGCCTGCAGAGGCCCTTTTGCTCACCCCCGCTCTAGAAATAGGATAGGATATCCTATAACAAGATTTCCAGAAATGGACCTGAACTTCAGATGCTCAAGATATGGGTCCAGATTCAATTTGTACCACATGTCTTTTTACAGACACAGACATGTGCTTTCATGTTTACATACATGTCTCTGCTCTAGGGTCACTTCATATTCCAGGGGCAACATATTACCTCTTCAAGTAATGTCTTTTCCAGTAAAACACACCATTCCTCACAAGATGGTTTGTAACAATCTTTATAAACAATTCCTTAATCTTGGGAAAAATATTTGAGACAATAATTGAGTAGTTTAATCCTACTTACTGAGAAAATGGTGCAAATACTCTTGACAGTCACATTAAATACACGCACAAAGTGAAATTACAATTGTTTCCTTCACTGGTGTGCAAAGGTGAGGAACAAGGGAGAGTGCAGGAGCAGGCTGGGAGTGTGGGGTCCATGCATGCGATGGATGGGGTGTGTTAACCTGGCTTTGCATACCCTGTCACTCCTAGGCACTGCTCTCAGGCACTACGTCCCAGGCACTGCCTCCCACTGCTTCCATTGGGCATGATTCCAACCAGTGGGAACAGTGGAGAAAGCCTCCAGGCAGCGTGTCTGTGCATTGCCATTCCCCCAACCAGGGGCAGGAGTGGCAGTGCACAGAGCCACTTGCTCCCCCCACAAGCCAGACCCCATCTTGAGGCTCTCTCTCTACCCCCAGTGGGAAGCTGGCATTTGTGTTCCAACTTTGCAGGGAGGGGGCACAGGGCTGGAGTGGGGGGAGAGGGAAGGGGTTGAGCCTTGAGCCACGGCCCACCTGCAAGGTGGCCATGGACTGGACCACAGTTTGAGAACCACTGCTGTAGGGTGATAGTTAGAACTAATACTTTTGTTGGTGGCTGCCAGCATGTGAATCTTTGCTATAAATGCAATCACAAATCTTATTGAGGTTAGTGTCCTACTTGCCATTAATTCTGGATAAATGAAAGAAGTAATTAAGCTCCTTCATTAAGTATAATAGCTGACAAATCAAAACCACCACCCGAACCACAGGCCACTTGGAAGGTCTGAACAAGAAAAGTAATTCAAAGTTTCTCTAGGACTGATTAAATATGTGGAAGCTGGGACATCAACTGGATTCCAGCTGCATGTGTCTGTGTATAGCAGGAAGATTAAGCTGTCAGAAAGCCAAGAGCATATGAAAGAACTGATAGCAAAGGTCTGAGAGGAAGCTGGCTTCCTATAAGTCGCATGTTTACCACAGTCATATGACTACATTGTTAAAGAAGCAACAGCTACAACAGGAGGGTCACGATGTGTGCACATGTCCAAAGACCCTGTGCTTTATTAAAGCAAGGTTAATGCTAGTAAAGTAGTAACTTCATCATGAATTAGCTTTCCAAACAATATCACGTGTGTTATTTATTCATTGATTGGTCAATGATATAGACTGGGCTATATTTGTTCCATGGTACCCTTCCCAATTGCATGGAAGATGTTTACTAAGTTGTCAATTAAGTATATTTGATGACATTTACTTATATCTGGGTGTTACGTTTCCTAGAAGCTCATTGCATTTCTTCCATATAAGGTGCACCCTTCAGTCTAGGGACTGATGAATTTTCTAACAAATTGACCATCAGTTCCTGGAGGAAAAAAGCCTGCAAGTTCCTGCTACCAGAAAAGGAAATACAGGTACTAGAGACAAAAAGGTATTTTTTCAGTGAATGTGCAATATCATGAACAGAGTCACCATTCATTTCTACAGTCAAAACATCCTACTTGTTACTGATGCAATGACCATATCATTACTTGAGAGCATTATATCCACTGATACAGTGAGCTTGAACTAGATCCACTGATAGCGTATTTGGAGCATGATTACAAGCCTCAGACTACAGGAAGTCATTCTTTCATCCTTCAAAATGTAAACAAACAATAACACAAAAAGTGATTGAAGTGTTAATGCCGTACTAGCCTTAGAAGAAGATGACAAAAAAGACCTTTTATTTGGCAAAAAGAATATGGCATGGCTTTAAGGGAATAGACAAGACAACCTATTTTCTGTGTTTCTAGGGAGGTAGACTTTGATAATGCATCAATCATTCCAGAAAAAATTGCAGAAGACACACAATGGTTAGGAAAAAACATGTAATAACACTACAGGTTTCTTCAGATGGGCAGCAAGATATTTTGAGGAGAACATCTGAGGCAAATGGAGAAGCATATTCAAATGGAGAACCACTTTAGTATCAATGGCAATATTCCTGAAGACAGGTTTTTTTTTTTTAATGATATAAGCTCAAACGGCTTTTGGAGTGCTTTTGATAGAGTGATTGTCTGTCATATTTAGGCTCTTTTCAAGGATTGAAGTAATGCAAGTACTCACCTGCTTATCACTCTAAGTTTATAGTTCCCATTGGGATAATTTCGGAACCAGACAAGCCCATAAAAACTAGACTGAGTGTATAATATTTCTTCTGATTTCTGAAGGTCAAAGTCTCTGTATGAAGAGTGGTTGGCCCTGTTAAGTGTTTCAGAAGCAGGCAACTGAGAAAAGAATTGTACTTAGAAGAGAGAGACACATTAGAAGTAAGATTTGTCACTGTGAATGGGCTCCCCTAGTCATAAGCTCTATTCTACAAGAGGCTACCCAATGAGCTCAGCAGGAGATGGAGTGCAGTACTGTACAGGAGTGTTCAGTATCTCGAAGGAGCAAACCCTATTAGGGGTCAGTCTCTGAGCTTTCTCGTACCTGCAAGGAAAACAATAGTATTCTCATATCTCCAAAGAGTTTTTCCCACTCTGGCAGCCAGTACATGTAGCTATTTAACAATTACTGCTCAGAAGCTCAGAGGCAGAGGAGCAGAGAAATCAGAATGAATGACAGATAAGCAGAACACCAAACAGCATAAACCTCAAAAAAACATTGTGTGCCATATGATCAGATGCACTACATGGAAATTGCCTCACAAGATACATAGGATATGGCAGTCCTCTAAGATGCCAAAATTAACGGAAAAATATAGCAAAGTACATATTCATATATTTTGGCACCTTTCAGTTACCTGGCTGACTCATCCACACCCACAGCCTTAAAAGACATTGCTTGTCTTCTACAATTTCACTATTGTGTTGTTTGATATGCTACATTAAAAGCTACTTACTTCTCTCACCAGTTGGTAGGGGAAAATGAAAAAGGAAGTGCGGGAGGAGTGGGAGCAGAAATTGGAACATTCAGTATGATAAAGTACAGAAGAAAAACACTTGAAGAACTCTGAAACTTTTAGGACCCAATCGATCTCCCTCTGAAGTAATTTGAAAGACTCCAATTGAATTTGGTAGGAGTTTGATCAGACCTTAAATAGTGCTTGAAGATTCTGGACCTAAGTTTTCCTACAGATTTGGGAGCAGAAACTCAACTTATGTAAATTGGGGTAGCTCCATACACTTCAATGAGGCAACACCAATGCACCTCAGCTGAGGATTTACCCCATTATTTCTACAATTCTACATAATTAGAAGTCTCTGCTACAGTCAGAAGTGGTGGAAAAACCAAGACCAAACAACAACTCCCCTTCGCAAAAAAAATTGTGTTATCATTCCACAGTGTCACAATGCTGAGAGTTCCAGGCAAAGCGAGACAGAGAAGCTGAGCTGTGGATCCCTGTGGAATGCTTACCCTAGCAACAATAACTATGGAAGAAGAGTCATAGCTTCCTCTCCTTATTCATGGATGAAGGCATCTAAATTCATATTTAGTTAGCTAAATAATGGGCAGAGAGTAGCTCTGCTATCCTGAGGGAGAAGACCAAGAACTGAATGACAATAAATTCAGTCCCTCATGTTTGAGGAAGTAACTAAGCTGTGCCTGTGCTTTACCTGGTATAGCTTACTTTCCTCTCTATTTTTAATCACCTGTGCTGGACTGCACATTGCAGGGAGAGAGGACAGATGCAAGACTCTTCCCACTGTGCTACCAGCTTACATGTTTGGAATGGGAGTAGCTCTCCTGCACTGTGACTCTCTCCTGCACTGTGACTCCCAGTAGCTCACAAAGGAAATTAACAGGGACATTTTGTGATCTCTTTTTTTCCTGCACAGTCACCTACGTTGATTCATGATTATGCCCTTTATCACTGGTTTTAGTTCTGATGGAGCCTCATGTGTCCTGCCTTTTCCTCTGATAGTTCCTGTAATAGGGCACTCTTCCATTTCAATCAAGAAAAGGCTAGCAAGTTCCTTGGGGCTCAGCCAGTACTAAAGAGGCATGCCTGTAGAGCCTGCTTCACATGGAGGAAAGGAGAAAAAAGGAGAGTTAGTCAGAGGAAGAGGTGGTAACCAGAAGGGAGAGAGATGTGCATTAGAGTTTCTTGCAACACAGCTGCAGGGAGGAAGCCAGTTTGGGAACTACAGCAGCCCATAAGAGTCTACCAGACCAGGTACAAGCTGATTGCAGCAGGAAGAGAATGCAAATAAGCTCCAATTAAAGGTTTTGGTGGACTTTGCTTTCATAGACAAGCCAAACCTTTAGAAACACTTGAAAAGAATTAAAGCAAACACCCAAATGGAATGCAAAAAGGCCCTGCCTGTCTGAGTTCCCAGTCCCCATTTTGTTGTCGGTGCACTGAATGCTACATCCATTTGGTTTCTGGGACAGTGCCACCTCAATAACATCTGTATTTTCAAATACATTCTTTGAGAGCTGAAACTAAGCTCCATCTTATCCTTGACTTCAAACTGCTGCCCAGCACTAACCACAGCTGTGAAGAGTTTATCAAAGAGTTATTGGCGGGGCTGGGGGGGAGGGGATTGTTTTAGGACAGCAGAGGACAATATCCTGCCATGAAGAATTGTGCCAGTGATCGCTGATCAAAATTCTGTGAGGCCACATTTTAAAATAACTGGCACATGGAATGTACTCCATTGTTATCTAATCTTTATTTATGTCTGCACAACTGGCAAACACTGAGGTATAAAACAGAGCACTGCACCATGCAGAGGCATCTAAAAATATAACACAGCACAAGTACTGGATCTTTGCAAAGAGCCATAAACCAGATTTATTAAACATACTTTATTAATGTTACACCAGGGATAGATTGGTTACAGAACCCCTTTACAATGGAAGAATTCCTAACTATGATTCCTCCTTAAAAAGGGAACTGCATATTTACAAAATGCTCATCATTTTTTTGATATGCTGTGCTGGGTAAAATGATAATGAATTGAAAATTAAGACTGTCAGCAATGTATGTTACAAACCCATAAGCCAGTGGAATCCAAAATATAATAATGAACTGATTCCCAATTTTTTTTGGTCCACTTAATTTAAGCTCTGGAAAGAAGTGATAGAGATAGTGTGATAGAATTAAAACACATGCTATCCCTGTCTCATACAAAAGAAAAATGTGGTGGACTAAACTCTGCCATCCTTACACAAGGATGTGAGCTTAATGGGAGTTTGTCCTGTGACATTTGTCCTTCTGCAACACCCCAATATTTGAAAAAACTGCACTATGGAATGCCTAATTTGTGGCAGCAGGGTTCATATAACTAGATACTGCACAGTTCTTTAGACTGCTGCAGACTTACACACCCATTTTCTGTGCATTAACTACCATTATAGATGTGCCCTTAAGGTCAACATTTTGAAAAATGCCGAACAATAATATATCCATCCATCCGTTTATCAATACATCACTTGTGTCAGATGCTACATATTATTCAAAATGAGAGCAGGGGATTAGTATCCAAATACAACAAAACACCTAGGATAATAACAAATGTTTTGTCTAATCACTGATAATCACTGTTTGGGCCTAATTCTGACCTCACATAGGCCATATCTACACTACACAGAAGATTGATGCTACCGCAGTCGATCTTCCAGGGTTCAAATTAGCAGGTTTAGTAAAGACTTGCTAATTCAAACTAAGAGGCTGCCCCAGTCCATGCTGGTTGTCCTGCTCGTCACAAGGAGTAAGGGAAGCTGATAGGAGCGTTTGCTCCCATCGAGTTCCTGCTGTGTTGACGGAGCGAAAATGCAGTTCAAGATACGTTGATTCCAGATACATAATGAACGTAGCGAAGTGTTAGTGGAGTAAAATCAGTGAGGGTATGTCTACACTACAAAGTTAATTCGAACTAACGGACGTTAGTTCGAACTAACTTTCATAGGCGCTACACTAGCGCTCCGTTAGTTCGAATTTAATTCGAACTAACAGAGCGCTTAGTTCGAACTAGGTAAAACTCATTCCACGAGGATTAAGCCTAGTTCAAACTTACTAGTTCGAATTAAGGGCTGTGTAGCCCCTTAATTCGAACTAGTGGGAGGCTAGCCCTTCCCAGCTTTCCCTGGTGGCCACTCTGGCCAACACCAGGGAAACTCTACTGCCCCCCTCCCGGCCCCGGAGCCCTTAAAGGGGCACGGGCTGGCTACAGGGTTTGTGCCAGTTGCAAGGCTATCAGCACCCAGCCAGCACACCCAGCAGCTGACACCCCATGAGCCAGCGACCTGATGCCCCCCACCCCTCCCCCTCTTCCCGGGACCAGGCTGGCGGCTCCCAGGAGCCTGCCCGGGGCCACAAGAGGTGGGCGCCCGCGTGGTCTAGTGCGGAGATCGTGGACCTCATCTAGGTTTGGGGGGAAGCCTCCAATGTCCATGATCTCTGCACTAGCCACAGGAACGCGGCCGTGTACAGCCGCATGGCTGCCAGCTTGGCCGCCAGAGGCCACCAGCCGGTCTGTTAGTTCTACCTTGAGAGACTCTTTCTCCAGTCAATCTAGGAAGAGATCTCATTCCTCGGGGAAAAGTGACTCTCCCTCAAAAAAAAAAAAAAAAAGGGAGCAGGTGCGCTGGAAAATTAAGGCTCCAACCCCTGCTACGGCTCCAGACTGGGAGGTACCAGGACCATCCAGCACCAACGGTTCCTGAGAGTTCAAGGACCTTACAAAGCCGAGTACCAAGGTGCCAGGTGAAGCCAAGTCTAAATTGGTGCTCCTGGCACCATCAGCACACACATCGATAAGATCAAGCCATCTTTGGTGAAGGACCACTGGCATTGAAGAAACCTAAGCCTCATATGGCACCATAGGCATCCATGCCGCCCCTGGCACCGAAGAAGCATAGGCATGTGACACCGATGGTTCCTCATTAAGCACCGCAGGTAGCAGCAAAAGTCTCAGTAGCTGTCAACACCGCAGATGCCAATACCGGTTCTATTCATCACTACGGAGGAGCTCAGGGTATCATCAGTATCCAAAACACCTCTGTTCAGCACACCTGCATCTGGTCCTATTGGGAACCATAGGCAGCATATTGAGCCCAACATCTGCAGCAGGTGCAACCCCATACATCAATGGCACCTTCCTCTAAAGCAGCATCCATGCCATCACTTGACAGGTCAGTCTATCAAGAAGAGGAGGAACCAGCATCTAGTGAAGAGGAGTCTTCTGTTTCCTCCCGTTCCCCAATGCACATATCCTACTCTTCTCCTGATAACACTTTGATGCCTCCGCACCCGGTGGCAGGAGATAACTTCCGTACTTTTCAGAAACTCTACAAGCAGGTTGCAGAAGTCCTTGAGGTCTCCTTGGTCAGCCTTCCTGAAACTCAGCACAAACTGACCAGCATACTCCATGCCTCACCTGCCTCTAAACTTGCCTTACCTATGGGCTCAGTGCCTATGGACCCTGCCAGGGTCATCTGGCAGATGCCAGCCATGATACCACTGGTCTGCATAAGGTCTGATCATAAATATTATGTGATCTCACAGGGTGTGGACTTTTCCTACCTATCCCCTAACTCTATAGCAGTAGATTCCATTAATCAGAGGGGCAAACAGCACCATGCGCATCACCCCATATGATAAGGAAAAGGCAGCCAGATCCCCACCCCTGAGCTTTCCTTTCCCTTCCTCCCTTCCCTCCCCTCCCCTTCCATCTCCCTCGTCCCAGGTTTCCCCCTTCCCTCTCCCACCCTCCTTCCTCCCTTCCCCCACCCCAGTTATGTTAAATAAAAAGACGTTTTTGTTTGAAAAACAGGTGTCTTTATTTGACAGTAGGGAGGGAGGGGAAAGGGGAAGGGGGTAGGGTGGAAGAAGGCCCCAGTGGGGCATTCAAGGGAGAGGTCAGTCCTCCTCCTCCACCAGGAAGCTCTCCCATAAGAACATAAGAACGGCCATACTGGGTCAGACCAAAGGTCCATCTAGCCCAATATGCTGTCTACCGACAGTGGCCAGCACCAGGTACCCCAGAGAGGGCTGACCGAAGACAATGATCAAGCGATTTGTCTCCTGCCATCCCTCTCCAGCCTCTGACAAACAGAGGCCAAGGACACCATTTTATCCCCTGGCTAATAGCCTTTTATGGACCTAACCTCCATGAATTTATCCAGCTTCTCTTTAAACTCTATTATAGTCCTAGCCTTCACCGCCTCCTCTGGCAAGGAGTTCCACAGGTTGACAACACGCTGTGTGAAGAAGAACTTCCTTTTATTAGTTTTAAACCTGCTACCCATTAATTTCATTTGGTGTCCTCTAGTTCTTCTATTATGGGAACTAATAAATA